TAGCGCGCCCCCTGCCACCGACGCTGGGACTAAGAGCTCTGAAAGGCCGCCTGCGCAGGCTGGAAAGGCAGGCGGTGTATTAGACCGTGCGTGCTGGGACTCACTTTCAGCCTGCAGGTCCAGCGCCGGGGACAGGCCCCACCACGACACCGAGCCGAAGCCCATGCCGGAGCCGGCAGGTGTGGTCATCACCCTGCGGAAAACACATCCTGGGAATCCCACACATTGCCCGCCCCGCTCCCCTCTCACCGCCCCTCACTTCGCTCCCCTTTGCCTCCACATGATACCCTACTCACACCTTTATCCTCCGAATATCCTGGGACGCCCCTTTCCCTCTGCTCAGTGCAGCACTGTGGGCCCGCGACCCTCCACAACCGCTGGCCAGAGTCCCCGCCCTTTTCGATCAATTGACCAATGGGTGCACGCGGGCTGGTACCTCGGAGAGCAACTGACCAATGAGAGTTAGCGAGGTCGGCTCGCTACAAACTTTTGGCCAATGGGAGCACTGAGGACCAGGCTTCTCCACCCTTAGTAGTAGAGGCCAGGTGGACGCGGTTGTCATGACGACAGCACTGGCGGGGGCGGGAAGGAGCGGGGCTGGAAGAGGTTGGGGCGGAGTCAGGGTCAGTCCAAATTTCTGGAATGGGAGAGACCCGGGCTGATTCAAATTTAGCGAGAACGGAGCTTAATCTTATTTCTTGTTTTTTACTTTTTTCTTTTCTCCATCTCCCTTTGCTCGTAGGTAACTGAACTTTTATCCATCCAAATAAAGTGAAGTGTCTAGACTTTAGACTGCAGACCTCTGAGCCCCATCCCCGCCCCAGCCCAGCATGGGTTCTACCACACGGAGCTGCCCACTGAGGCGCAGGTTATTACAAATTCAGGACTCTTGTGAGCTGGTTATTAGCACAAGCAGTAATAATTTAAACTTACAGCTAGATCCTTTTGTAGTTTCTAAGCGAGATGATTGGGTGTTCACGCGCATGTGTGAGATGCGCCCCCCTCAAACCTTGTTACGACATCGGCACATGACCCTTCTGACATGAACAACAACAACAAAAAATTACACTTAAATTCCGTAATTGTACAGTTAAATGCACTGCATTAAAATAAGGGTAAGTCGCCCGGGGGCGGTGGCTCACGCCTGTAATCCCAGCACTTTGGGAGGTCGAGGTGGGCAGATCACTTGATGTTAGGAGTTGGAGACTAGCCTAGCCGCGAGTCTACTTTTAAAAAAATAAGAAAATTAGCAGTGAGCCGAGAAGGCGCCATTGCACTCCAGCCTGGGCGGCTGAGCGAGACTAAGTCTCAAAAAAAAAAAAAGAAAGAAAGAAAAAGAAAACCAGTATCCCATCTATCTCCCCATTTATCTTTCCTCAGTCCCTGGCAACCAGGAATCTACTTTCTGTCCCTATGAATTTGTCAGTTCAGGGGATTTCTTACGGATGGAATTCTGCAATATGCAGCCTTTTGTGTCTGGCTTCCTCCACTTGGCATAATACACCCAGGACTCATCCATGCTGAAGTACAAATCAGTGCTTCCTTCTGTTTTTATGACCAAATAATATTCCACTGTTTTTCCCCCTAACCTTTGCAAGCTTCATTCCTTCTTGTCATTCAAGTAATGGCCCAGACCGAACCTCCTCAGGAGGGCTGCCCTGATTACCCCCCCCCCTAAATTATCTCAGCCCTTTTACGTTTTTGTCCCAGGGTGGATTACCACTTGTAATTGTTTTATCCTTCCTATAACTCTGCTTTCTAGTTGAGACAGGGACCCAAGGACCGCATTTTCATCATCTAAATCAATCCCAGAATTTAGTGACAGGCTTTCTGGCTATGTGATTCAAAGGATTTCTTTCTTTTTTTTTTTTTTTTTTTTTTTTTTTTTTTTTTTTTTTTTTTTTTTTTAGGCTGAGTTTTGTTCTTGTTGCCCAGGCTGGAGCGCAATGGCACGATCTCAACTCACTGCAACCTCCACGTCCTGGGTTCAAGTGATTCTCCTACCTCAGCCTCCCTAGTAGCTGGGATTACAGCTGCCCGCCACCATGCCTGGATAATTTTCATATTTTTCGTAATGACAGGGTTTCAGCATGGTGGCCAGGCAAGTCTCAAACTCCTGACTTCAGGTGATCTGCCTGCCTCGGTCTCCCAAAATGCTGGGATTACAGGCATAAGCCACCACACCCATCCCTGAATTCTCTAAAGCACAGTTTGGACTCATTTGTCAACAGGGAATAAAAATCATGTCTATTTCATGAGTTTGCTGTGAGGTTTATTATTGGCAGTAATAGCAGTAACATAAAGAGCTGTCTTCATAAAGACATGCCCTACACCCACACACACACACATATGAAAAGTTACTGAATTCCTTTTAAGAAAAATTTAAACTCTCGCCGGGCGCGGTGGCTCAAGCCTGTAATCCCAGCACTTTGGGAGGCCGAGGCGGGTGGATCACGAAGTCAAGAGATCGAGACCATCCTGGTCAACATAGTGAAACCCCGTCTCTACTAAAAATACAAAAAAAAAAAAATTAGCTGGGCATGGTGGCGCGTGCCTGTAATCCCAGCTACTCAGGAGGCCGAGACAGGAGAATTGCCTGAGCCCAGGAGGCGGAGGTTGCGGTGAGCCGAGATCGCGCCATTGCACTCCAGCCTGGGTAACAAGAGCGAAACTCCGTCTCAAAAAAAAAAAAAAAAAAAAAAAAAAAAAAAAGAAAAATTTAAACTCTCAAGGACATTATCATCTGTGTAGCTATTCTAATTTCACTTTTCCCATTGGCTACCAGGAAGCTTAGGAGCAAGTTTGTTCACTGCCTTCTTTTTCGATATGTGGGGGTACTTTTTTTTGTCACATTCTCCACTTAATCTGCTGATCAGAGAGTTCTCTTACCAAATTTTTTCTTTTTCTTCTTTTTTGAGACAGTGTCACTCTGTCTCCCAGGCTGGAGTGCAGTGGTGAAATCTCAGCTCACTGCAACCTCCACCCCTCGGGTTCAAGTGATTCTCCTGCCTCAGCCTCCCGAGTAGCCAGGACTACAGGTGTGTGCCACCATGCCTGGCTAATTTTGTTTTTTTTTTTTTGAGACGGAGTTTCGCTCTTGTTACCCAGGCTGGAGTGCAATGGCGCGTTCTCGGCTCACCACAACCTCCGCCTCCTGGGCTCAGGCAATTCTCCTGCCTCAGCCTCCTAAGTAGCTGGGATTACAGGCATGCACCACCACGCCCAGCTAGTTTTTTGTATTTTTAGTAGAGACGGGGTTTCACCATGTTGACCAGGATGGTCTCGATCTCTCGACCTCGTGATCCACCCGCCTCGGCCTCCCAAAGTGCTGGGATTACAGGCTTGAGCCACCGCGCCCGGCCTAATTTTGTATTTTTAATAGAGATGGGATTTCACTATGTTGGCCAGGCTGATCTTGACCTCGTGATCTGCTCACATCGGCTTACCAAAGTGCTGGGATTACAGGCATGAGCCACCACTCCCGGCTCTCTTGCCAAATCTTACAGGTCTCTGTTCACCACCCAAAATCCTGTATGTGATGAGATGAGGTAGAAGCCAATGGAACAATCATCTTTGCTAGAAACAGACTAGAAGCCAGCATTCCTTGAAAGAACAATGAAGTCGGATGCAGTGGCTTCTGCCTGTAGTCCCAGCTACCCAAGGAGGATCCTCAGGAGTTTGAAGCCAGCCTGGGAAACACAGTGAAACCCCATCTCTACAAAAATAGAAAAATAAAAAATGAGCCAGGCATGGTTGCATGCACCTGGAGTCCCAGCTACGCAGAGGTCTGGGGCAGGAGGGTCCCTTAAGTCCAGGAGGTTGAGGCTGCAGTGAGCTGTGATTGAACCGCTGTTCTGCAGCCTAGGGACAGAGTGAAAACCCCTGTCAAAAAAGAAGAAAGTAAAGAGAGAAGAAAGGAAAGGAAGGGAAGGGGAGGGGAGGGGGAAGGGAGGGGGAAGGGGAGGGGAGGGGAAGGGGAAGGGAAAGGGAAGGGGAAGGGGAAGGGAAGGGGAAGGGGAAGGGAAGGGGAAGGGGAAGGGAAGGGGAAGGGGAAGGGGAAGGGGAAGGGGAAGGGGAAAGGAAGGGGAAGGGGAAGGGGAAGGGGAAAGGAAGGGGAAGGGGAAGGGGAAGGGGAAGGGAAGGGGAAGGGGAAGGGAAGGGGAAGGGGAAGGGGAAGGGGAAGGGAAGGGGAAGGGGAAGGGGAAGGGGAAGGGAAGGGGAAGGGGAAGGGAAGGGGAAGGGGAAGGGAAGGGGAAGGGGAAAGGAAGGGGAAGGGGAAGGGGAAGGGGAAAGGAAGGGGAAGGGGAAGGGGAAGGGGAAGGGAAGGGGAAGGGGAAGGGAAGGGGAAGGGGAAGGGGAGGGGAAGGGAAAGGGAAGGGGAAGAGAAGGGGAGGAAGGAAGGAAGGAAAGGCGAGAAAGAAGAAAGAGAGAAAAGGAGGAGGAAGGAAGAAGAGAAACAAAAGGGAGAGAGGTGAAGAGGAAGCCGCTGGCCTTCCTTGCTGAACTTGGCCCCTCTCGCAGCCTCCGGAGATTTCATTCCCTGGCTCTGCGCATCTCCTTTGCTTCCTTGATGACAGTAAGTCGCTGGGGGTGCAGGTCTGTGTTTGCATCTATTCTGGGGCCCCAGCATTCAACAGAAGCCCTCGGGGAACATGGAATGGAAGACACGACGGAGGAAGGGAGGCAGACACGGGTATGAAGATCGGTATGAGTCACGGGTGAGCACGCGAGTGGATACATTCACCGACCAGCAAAGGGACTCGCCGACTCCTCACAGCCACCCTGTGGCAGGAATCGTCATCATCCCAACATTCCCCAGAGGAAGAAACTCAGGCTCAGAGTGGTGAGTGAGGAATGAACGGGTGAGAGTGTGAGGGGTCCCTGGGGCCGGGCCAGGACGAACAGCACTCACGGCGCCCTGCGCCTCCCATTCCTGGAAACAAGGTTTCCTCCTGGGCCCCAGCCCTTGCCCACCCCCTTCAAAGAGCAGGGGCCCAAGCCACCGGAGCTGCTGAATATTTATTTGGCCCCAGGAGCAGTGCAGGGACGGGCTGTGTTGGAAGAGAGAGGAGAACAGACTAGGTTGGTGATTGTCAAAGCGGGGGGGGGGGGGGGGGGGCAGGACCAGGGGGCAGGGGAAACCAGGCTGCCTTTCCTTCCCAGGGGTCGCTGGGGCATCTGGGTGTGTGGGTGGGGGTCTGGGGAGTGTGCTGGAAAGTTGTGATTGGCATCGTTGTGGGTGAGAGGCAGGAATGGATCGGCTGGTTGGGGTGGGGCTGCGGGGAGAGTAGCGGTCAGAGGCTTCAGGGTGGGGCTGGCTTGGCTTTGGCGGGTCTCGGGAGTCTGGGGTCAGGGGCTTGGGGTAGGAGTCAGGGCGCAGGCAGCAGCCTCACTCTGTCCGGGGGCCGCAGCGAGTGCCACTGGGCAATGGGCCGCCGCGGATTGGCCAGCATGTCCGCCCAGTGCCGCAGGCCAGCCCCGCCGGCGGCCGCCCCCACGGCCACCCTCCCGATGGCCTCGTTCTTGCCCAGCTTGTCGTAGTCCAGCACGGTCAGCTCCACCTGCACCTTCTGGGGTGAGCGCGGGAGGAAGAGGGGAGAGGAGCGTGAGGGAAGGAGGCCCCGAAAAGAGGGTGTCCGGTTTCACGGCTGAGGGTACCTTCTGGCTGCCACCCGAGGGCTCAGGGCTCGGGGCCCCGGAGCTCGAGACGGGGTGGGGGAGTGGGAGGTGGGAGGGACGGAGCCTGCGGTGAGGAGGCGGCTTTGGCGCCTTGCTTCCTGCGCAGCCAGATTTCTCGGGAAATGAACCCTCAGGATGGTTGCGGAGGGGGTGTTCGGCGTCCCGCTAGGGGAGCAGCCTCTTAAGAGCGGCAAAGCTGCAGAACTTTCCCAGGGGCCTGGCTAGAGTAGGCTCGTCCCTAAAGGACTGAAGGGAGGTCTCTCTTTCTTAGAACCACGTTCTTGAGGAGGGCGGGGCATCCCAGTCGTGCCTGGGGGGGTCGGGGAATTCTGGTCCTGCTTACGGGCGGGGCATCTGGTCCCGCGTGGGGGGTGAGCATCCTTGGTCCTGCTTGGGGCAGGGCATCCCGGTCTTGCCTGGGCGGGTGGGGAATTCTGGTCCTGCTTAGGGGCGGGGCATCCTGGTCCTGCTTAGGGTTGGGGCATCCTGGTCCCGCATAGGGGGCGGACATCCTGGTCCCGCGTGGGGGCAAGGCATCCCGGTCTTGCCAGGGGTGCAGGGAATTCTGGTTCTGCTTAGGGGCGGGGCATCTGGTCCCGCGTGGGGGGCGGGACATCCTGGTCCTGCTTGGGATGGGGCATGCTGGTTTTGTCTTGGGGGAAGGGCATCCCGGTCCTGCTTAGAGCAGATAGGATACCCACACCTAATTTTAAGGAGACCCTTCCTGGAGTGGATGGGGCATCCTGGTCCTCCTAGGAGGAAACAAGACTGAGAACAAACAGAACCTCAGACTTCCGCTCACCTGGTTTCTAGGGGGATGCTAAAAAGTCTCTCCCTGTAGCAACGGCGATTACTAAGGGTCTGGGCTCTTGGAGAGGGGCCGGTCTGAGCTCACCTGGACTTGGTCACAGGGCACCTCAAAGCTGAAAGCCTCGTTGTAATAGGGGTTCAGAGTGTTCTTCTTGATGGTAGTTTTCTTCTTCCGCACCTTTTTGCCGCCCTGCAGCAGGTGGACCTTGACGTACGGATCTGGGGAGAGGAAGGAGGCGTCTTACGGCCCCCACTGCTGAGTTATTGGACCAACATAGAAACACCGCCTACATCCTTTAGGTCTCCGGTATCCATGGTCCAAAATCCATGCCTTCCACGGCAGCCTGGGCCTCCCTCTCCCCCAAGAAACCCTCGGGGCTCAGAAACTGTCGGAATGAGAACCCACCCCACGCCACCCCCACGCACCCCACTCCCTCGCTTCCCACACACCTGACAGTCCTCCTACATCCATCTTCTTCAAGTTTTTAGCCTCCAGGACGATAACGGTGAGCTTCCCGGCCGTAGGGACATAGCGGAGGGAAAAGCAGATGTCCCCAAGCTTCTCCTGCTGAAAGGAGGAGAGGGGCCCATCACCAGAGCCCCGGCTCCGCATCCATCCCTCCCTCCATCTTTCTTTCCTCCCCACACTTTGGAATGGAACCGTCCACACTTGAGGACCCAGGTGTACGATCCGAGGAGTGGAAGAGGTTTTAATCCACTCCGCCTTCCGGGTCTGGAAGGCCTGTGATCTGATTGGCTCAGGGAGTTGTGGGCGGGGCGGGCCTAGGGCGTGGCTTGGAGCACGGCGGCTCCCTCTCACCTCCTCCCGCGGAGCCGCCTGCAGCTCCCGCCAGGCCTGCACCGGCCGCCCCAGGTCCACGGAGCTCATGGGGACCCGCACCTCCCCGATGGCGTCGTTGCGAGAGAAGCGGTCGAAGTCGTACACCGCCATGACCAGCACCCTGCCCCCCAGCTCCACATAGGGGACCTGCAGTGCACAGAGAATGCGTAGCGGACAGCAGGAAGTCAGAGAGAGAGAGTGGGGCGCAGCACATCGAGGTGGACGGCACACGGTCCAAGCGAATAGTGGGGGGAACTCAAATGGAGAAGTCCAGGGATCCATGGGAAAAAAAAATCACGGGTCAGTGGAACCCAAATGGTACCGCCAAAGGAACAGGCTACAACCCGGGCGTCAGTAGTGCCCAGGGTCCAGTGGAATAGCCCTAGAGCTGGTAGCTGCCACCTGAGCTGTGGCCGCCTCCAGGAAAAGCGGAAGCGATCAGTCCCCTGGGTTCCAGGGACTGCACGTATGCTATGGAGCACGGGGCCTGACAGCAGGAGCTCACCTTGAAGGCGAAGGTCTCCCCAAAGTGAGGGTTCAGTGTCTGCCGATGCACCTTGGTCTCGTACCGCCTCCGCTTGTCCGGCAGCAAGTAGACCAGCACGTAGGGGTCCGAGGAGCCACCCAGATCCAAGGCTGCCAATCCCTCTGCTTGCAGAATGCCCACCAGCAGCTGCAGGGCGCGGGGCACAGTGGGAGAGGCGGGGGAGGTGGGCAACAGTCTTAGCCTCGCTTCCATGGTTCCTTTCAGAAGGGGTTGGAACCCCCGGGACCCTCCCTCCAAAGCATCCCCTTCCTCCACACCCACCTGGCCACTCTGGAAGTCATAATCCAAGGAGTACTGCAGTCGTCCTAGCTCATGCTTGCCTGCCACCTGCTGCCCTGGCCCAGATGTTGCTGGCTCCAGCTCCTCCACTTCTGGCTGCACCTTAGAGAGCCAGGGGTAAGAGTAGGTGAAGTCTTCCCCTGACAGCAGTATCCTTCAGGCGCAGAAGCCAAGGGAGGCTCACAGGTTTCTTGGGCTATACCTGAGTGCTGACAAGCTAAGCAGAGTCAGTATTTGACTAGTGATGTCTGCTACAGGCAAGAAATGGACATAGTAACACATGCGGTATGCTTGTGAAAGTTCAATTAGTGATGTCTGCTGTGGGCAGGGGCTAGACGTGTTTGTCATGTTTAGCTTAAAATAAGTGTGGATAGTGTCTCATTGCCCATAGGAATGATGTAGATTTTATTTCACATGCTAATAGATGTATTGGGATGGTAGTCCAAACTGCCATGTTTGCTAGTGATCTTAGCACAGCAAAATATGGAGGAGAAATGGAATATTTACTGTGTACTTGTCATTCTAAAGTAGAATCAAAAAGCAGAAGGTGGCCGGGCGCTGGTGGCTCAAGCCTGTAATCCCAGCACTTTGGGAGGCCGAGGCGGGTGGATCACGAGGTCAAGAGATCGAGACCATCCTGGTCAACATGGTGAAACCCCGTCACTACTAAAAATACAAAAAAGTTAGCTGGGCATGGTGGTGCGTGCCTGTAATCCCAGCTACTCAGGAGGCTGAGGCAGGAGAATTGCCTGAACCCAGGAGGCGGAGGTTGCGGTGAGCCGAGATCGCGCCATTGCACTCCAGCCTGGGCAACAAGAGCGAAACTCCGTCTCAAAAAAAAAAAAAAAAAAAAAGCAGAGGGTGTCTCCTTAACCTAAGCCAGCAATTCTTAAAATTCAGTGTGAATCTGAATTCCCCTGAGTCCTGTGGCAAAATGTCTGAGGTCACCTCTTTAGGGATTCTAACTCAATAGGTCAGGTGCTAGCTCCAGAATTTGGATTTCAACAAGTACTCTGTGTGACTCTGATGCACATGGTCTTTGAACATCATCAGTTTAAGGGATAGGGATAGGGCTGGACACCAAGGGCCCTAAATGGCATCCTTTATGGATAGTAATGGTAACAGCTCCTTACTGAGAAGGAAAGGGGAAATACCAAGTTAGTGACCACAAACTTGAGGCTCAGAGAGGGACAGTGAATTCTCCAAGGTCACAGAATGGGAAATCGTCCTTCTTGGTTGGAAATCTAGGGCTGTCTGGCTCCCAGGTAACCATAGCACTCTGCACGGAGAGGCTTAATGTTCAGACCCTGCAGTGACCGCTTTCCATTCCCATGGCCTCATCCAGTGCAAATCTCTTTCATTCTCTCCAGGCTGCTGCTGCACTGACCTCCTCCCTGGATTCCTCGCCCCATATCTGCCCAACACAGGGATTCCAGAGGAGTCATTCTAACAACATCTGACCCTGTCCCTCATGCTCAAAACATATTTGTAGCTTTCCTCACCCTCATGATGTGCATACTGCTGAGTTCTCCAGACAGTACACTCCAGAGTGAAGCTATTGTGAAAAACGACTTTGTGGCTGGGCGCGGTGGCTCAAGCCTGTAATCCCAGCACTCTGGGAGGCCGAGGCGGGTGGATCACAAGGTCAAGAGATCGAGACCATCCTGGTCAACATGGTGAAACCCCGTCTCTACTAAAAATACAAAAAATTAGCTGGGCATGGTGGTGTGTGCCTGTAATCCCAGCTACTCAGGAGGCTGAGGCAGGAGAATTGCCTGAACCCAGGAGGCGGAGGTTGTGGTGAGCCGAGATCGTGCCATTGCACTCCAGCCTGGGTAAAAAGAAAAACGACTTTGTTCTCCAAATAAGCCTTAGAATCCGGATATGGGGCTTCAGCACCTGCACCTCCTTAGACTAGAATGTCCTTCTCTCTGCTCTGTTAGCTCTGTCCTTTAAGTCACCTCCACCATGAAGCCTCTTCTGTCTGACCCTCTGTTTAAAATTTTTTCTTACTGTAAATATGTTCCATTTTCTGAAAGAAATCAGCACATCTCAAAGTATTCTGGCACAAAGCTGGTTTTCAGCTTTCAGAGCCATTTATTTACTTGTTTAGTTATCAGAGACAGAATCTCGCTCTGTCACTCAGGCTGGAATGCAGTGGTACAATCTCAGCTCACTGCAGCCTCCACCTCCCCGTTTCAAGTGATTCTTGTGCCTCAGCCTCCCAAATAGCTGGAGGCGTGTGCCACCATACCCAGCTAATTTTTTGTATTTTTAGTAGAGACAGGGTTTCACCATGTTGCCCAGGCTAGTCTCGAACTCTTGAGCTCAGGCATTCTGTCCACCTCAGCCTCCCAAAGTGCTAGGATTACAGACCTGAGCCATGGCGCCTGGCCCAGAGCTAAATATTTATTTTTCTGTAGGTTTCTATACAGTGAGATGCTTTTTCTGCACTCCTATAAGACCCTGTAGTATGGCACATATTACCCTGTGTGGTGAGTGTCTGTGTCAGTGCCTGACTCTCCCACCAGATTAGGAAGTTCTTGTGAACAGCAACTAGATCTGTTCCATCTCCTGGTCCCCAGAGTCCAGTTGAGGGCTAGACACACAGGGAGGATGAGTCAATAAGGTGGGTTCCTATAGGAGGGAAGGGAGCAGGGACTGGGACCAGCTGGGCCATTGAGAGGAGCGGGGTATGGGAAGGGGCCAGGTTGAGGGGCTGCGCTGGGCCACACCTTGTCTATGTAACTCTGGCCCAGCCCCTTCACTTCCTGAAGATGGACCTGGGCTTGGGCCTGGCTCTTCTTGCCCGTCCGCCTCCGACAGCGCTTCCGGTAGAGACAGAAACAGCAGCTGAAGAAGAGGAGGCCTGAGACCAGCACGATGGTGGCCAGGGCCCAGGGAGGCACTGCAGAGCGGTGGAGGAGAAAACACACACTAACGCCTGGGCTGTGCGAGGGCTGATTCAATCCTGATTACACGTGGAAGCTGGAATGCTGGCCTCCTTTTCCCTCTAGCTAATTTTCATTCCATTTCTTCCTGTGTTTTTCTTCCACCTAATCTGGCCTATAGAGAGATTCGATGCCCTAACCCAGACTGACACCATCTGATTTCCTTGCTTTTTAGTTCTGCCTTTCCTTACCGCCCCCCACCTCTCACACCCCCACCGCCCCCGCCAATTTCTGCTCAACTCCTGATGCTTTTAGAAGAAGCCCTGCTCCTCATCAGGCCTCAGTTTCCTTATCTGTAAAAGAAGGGCTAAGTGGACCTTCGAATTCTAAGATCTCATTCCATGCAACCCCCCTTGATCCCGTTTCGATTTTTGTTGCAAATCTGTTCCTTCCTTTCCCCGATTTCGTTCGCATTCCAGTCCAGGATAAGGACCCTGAATCCCAGCCGGATTTTCCAGCCCGCCTGCAAGAGTACACCCGTCCGAATCCCGCCCCTCAGAATCCTGGTCGGGCTTTCTCTCTGCTCAGCCCCCGGGTCTTGCTCACCTGGGCCGTGGCTGATGCGACTGGAGTCTGGAGGCGTGTCGGGCGATGGAGGCCCCGGGGTTGGGGGCTCCGGGAACATGGTGGCCGAGTCCTAGAGTCTTTTCTGCAGAGGCACTCAAACACCCTAGTCCCCCATTCCCACCCCAGACGTCCCTTGAGTCCCACGCACAACAAAGAACTTCAACTCCCATGAGGCCCCCGCGCGAACAGCCGCACAGAAACCGGTCAGCCACCGCGAGTCATGCTGGGAGTTGTAGTTTCAGCCTTCCCCACGCTTGAGATGGGGTGTTCAGGACCCAGTTCCATCCCAAAGGGATACCCGCTTCCCCCGCGCCTCCACAGGCATCCCGCTGACTTCTGCCTCTTCCTCGCCCCTCCGCAGGGCCTGAACCGGAAGCGGGTGAAGGCAAGCGTGGGCAACCAGCGGACCGCGTTGCCCAGAGCAACAGCCTGGCTCCTCTCGGGCGGGGTGGGAGCAAAGCTGGTTGCCCGGGCAACGGTCTGTTGCCAGGACAACGGGCGGGGCTGACGCACAGACGCGGAGTCCCGGTGGGGCAGGCTCGCTCCCGGCCCCACCGGTGCCTGGGAACCTCCAATACCCGAAATGGGATCCTGAGGTCCCGCGATGTGGGGAGGGGGCAGCCTGCGGTCCGAGCGCCCACAGCCGGTTCCTCCCTCCGCACCTCGTCCTGGGAACTGAGACGCAGGTTCCCCCTTCCCTCTCCCCCTCTTTGCTGGAGGGCGGGTCGGGGGCTGCCAGGCGCCTGTGCTGAGCCCCCCTCATCCTTCTTGGCCTGTTGGTCTCTCCACGCATCTGCGCTGTCTTCACACCTGTTCTCGTGACCGCCTCAGTCTCCACGCTCTCTTGTCCCCAAATAGGCGTCGTCCCTCTGTCTGCCTCCTCATCCCGCCTGTGTCTCTGTCCTATCGCCTGGCCTCTGTCCCCAGGGTCTCTCCTCCTCCCCTCCGCCTGCGCCCCCCTCCCCGCCCTCCGCTCTTTGTCTTCTCCACACCCGTCTCGCGTCCCTAAATCCCAGTCTCCCCGCTTCAGGCTCGAGCCCTCCCTCCCACTGCCTCTGTTGGTCTCCCCAGAGCCCCAGCCCCCACTCCCACACACATTTCCTCTAGGAATGCGGATTTGGATGGGCTGAGGTGGGGGTCCCGGCAGCTCCTACCTGCTCGGCGGCCTGGACGGGACACTCCCGGGAGACGCCGAGGCGCCAGCCCCGCCCGGACCCCGCCCCCCGCACGTGGGCGGTGGCGCTGTCCCGGGTGCTGATCGCGGAGCTCGGCGGGGCGGAGGAGCCGCGGCGCAGAGCCGGATCCCGGGCGCGCCTGTGAGCCCGTGTGCGTGTGCGCGCGTGTGTGGTGTGTATTGTGTGTGTGCCCGTATTTGGTCTCCTGTAGGCAGAAAACCCCGCCCCGCCCCTCCTCTCGCCCCCACCCGGGAACCTCGATGGCGCCCACAGATGTTTATCCTGGTGCCTTCGAATTTTCTGCCTTCTGGTCCAGTCACTGGCCATCCACACCACTCCACTACTCCCGCCCCAACACACACAACACACACCCTATATAGCCCTAAGAACTGCATGCCAGGATAACCGGTCCTAGGACCCAGGAGACCCCAGACCCCCACTGGAGACCCAGACTCTGTGGGTATCAGCAACAAAGTCCCCACCTATCAGCCCCCAGACATTGCCCTCTAAGTTCCCCTAATGCCAGTCCCAGGGGGTAGCTGGGCCAGTGGCTCACACCTGTAACCTCAGCACTTTGGCAGGCCGAAGGGAAAGGAGCTGGCAACTAACCTGGGCACATAGGAAAATCTCGTCCCTATGAAAATGAGCCGGCATGGTGGTGGCACACACTTGTGAACCCAGCTACTCTAGGGGCTGAGGTGGGAAGAGGACCTGGGGTCGGGAGGTCAAGGCTGCAGTGAGCCATTGCACTCTAGTCTGGACAACAGTGAAAGAAAAGAAAAAAGAAAAAGGAAGGGAGGGAGGGAAGGAAGGAAGGGAGGGAGGGAGGGAGGGAGGGAAGGAAGGAAGGAAGGGAGGAAGGAAGGGAGGGAGGGAGGGAAGGAAGGAAGGAAGGGAGGAAGGGAGGGAGGGAGGGAGAGAAAGCCCAGAAGGCAAGTCCCCAAGTAACTAGCTTCAGCGAGCCCTGTCCATACTTCCCAGACCCCGGACACAGATGATTGGACGCTGTTTTCTCTGAGAGACTCAACCACCGAATCCTACATTTTTTCATGGGCAAGTGTGTGGGTCCCCCTAGTCCCCTCCTGGACGTTTGTCTCTATCCCTAGATCCCAGGGGCCCATCCCTACTCCCACCCCAATATTATTTCCAGACCCAGAAATCCATAGGACAACCGTTTCTGGGGAAAACAGTGATTTAATAAATTACGGGATAGAAGGAAACACATATGCAGACAGCGGGTGCAGGGAGACCTCGGGCACAGGGACTCCCTCCAACCTCAGATTACAGATTGATTTGGATTCTGAAGTAAAAGCAGGGCAGGATCCTGCCTGCCTTTTCTCCTTAAGTAGCCAAAATTCCAGACCTGAATTCCTTCCTGCCTCAGAATCCAGGCCCCAGCCTGTTTCTTCCTGCATCCCAGATTCCCAGCTTCCTCCTCCCTCAAAGACCTAGGAATTCCAAGCACCCACCCCTCTCCTCCTTCAAGGCACCAGGAATCCAGATCCCCTGGTCCCATAAAGTCATATGCTGAGGTCCACCAGATCACTCTCTCCTGGGGAAACTGGAGTTTGGGCTCCGAGCCCCCTCCTCCCACAGCATCCAGGAGTCTGGCAGCCTAGCCCTCTGCTCTTCCAGGAATCTGGGTTCAAGAGGGCGTCCAGAGCTTGAGGATGCCTGGGCTGCCAGCTCAGCCCTCTCATCACTTAGACCTCCAACTGGTGGGCCAGGATGGCAGCTGCATTTTCGTAAATAAGGTTTTCAACATTCTCATATATGGCCTCCTTCTCAGCTGGGGCCTGGGCTGACTGTTGGAGGAACTGCAGGATGCACTGGTGCAGGAATACGTACTGGGCCTGGGGAGGAGGCATGGGAGTGAGCGAGGAGTGTCTCCCCAAGCCTGGGCTGCATGGAGCCCCAGGGTCCAATGTCCCACTGCCTCCCGTCCAGTATCACTCGGGGGCCAAGGGCTGCCTCACCTCCGTCTGCACCATCAACGGCCGGCTCTCTCTCATCTTCTTCACGAAGCTGAAGGGCCCAAGGAGACCCTCGCACTCCAGCTGCCGAAGCAGGACATCCAGGGCAATGAGGGTGCCTGTTCGGCCCACACCAGCACTAAGCAGAACAAAGAAAGGGTCAGACCAAGGGGCGGGAGTGTGAGGGTCCAGGGTCATGGCTGATTGGAGGGATCTGTGTTTGAATGATGGCAATAACTATGCCTGCTCACACCTGCAATCTCAGCACTTTGGGAGGCCGAGGCAGGTAAATCACCCAAGGTCAGAAGTTCAAGACCAGCCTGGCCCACGTGGCAAAACCCCGTCTTTACTAAAAACACAAAAATTAGCCAGGTGTGGTAGCACACGCCTGTAATCCTGGCTACTTGGGAAGCTGATGCAGGAGAATTGCTTGAACCCAGGAGGCAGAGGTTACAGTGAGCTGAGATTGTGCCATTGCACTTTAACCTGGGTGAAAAGAGCAAAACTCCATCTCAAAAAAAAAAAAAAAAAGAAACACACGTAAAACTATGTCTAGAGTTCCCTGCATCCATTAGGCCCTGTTCTAAGTCCTCACAAACCTAAGCAGCGAGACGCATTAGTACATCCATTACACAGATGACGAAATGGAGGCTGAGTGACGTGAGGTCTCATTCCCCAGGTTACTCAGCTAGTGAGTGACAGAGCCGGGTTGGAACACAGGAAGAGGAACTCTCCAGCCAATCGTTTAAAAATTCCTTTAAATACAAAATGAGTCTTTTGTTTTGTCTCTCTCTGTCATGCAGGCTGGAGTGCAGTGGCACAATCTCAGGTCACTGCAGCCTTGGCCTCCTGGACTCAAGGGATCCTCCCACCTTGGCCTCCCAAAGTGCTGGAATTACAGGCATGAGCTGCTATGCCCGGTGGAAAAAATTAGCTATTTTAAGTTGGGCCCAGTGGCTCACACCTATAATCCCAACACTTTGGGAGGCTGAGGTGGGCAGATCACCTGAGGTCAGGTGTCTGAGACCAGCCTGGACAACATGGAGAAACTCTGTCTCCACTAAAAATAATTAGGCTGGATGCAGAGGCTTACACCTGTAATCCTAGCCCTTTGGGAGGCCAAGGTGGGTGGATCGCCTGAGCGCAGGAGTTCGAGACCATCCTGACTAACACAGTGAAACCCTGTCTCTACTAAAATACAAAAAATTAGCCAGGAGTAGTAGCATGTGCCTGTAGTCCCAGCTACTCAGAAGGCTGAGGCAGGAGGATTGCCTGAACCCAGGAGGCGGAGGTTGCAGTGAGCTGAGACTGCACCACTGTACTCCAGCCCGAGCGGCAGAGGGTGACTCCGTCTCAAAAAGTAATAATAAAATAAATAAATAAATATTGGGAAAGCAGCTGATGGGGAGGCCCTGTACTTGAGCACAAGGAAGTGTCTCCAATATTTCTCTGAATGTGTGGCCTCATCCCCTTGCTGTGCCTGCATCTCTTCTCCTTGTCTGCATTCAACCATCTCTTCCTTTACTCTTTCATCTTTTTTTTTTTTTTTTTTTTTTTTGAATCAAAGTCTAGAGGGCAGTAGTGTGACCTCGGCTCACCGCAACCTCCTCCTCCTGGGTTCAAGCGATTCTCCTGCCTCAGCCTCTTGAGTAGCTGAGATTACAGACACCCACCACCATGCCCGGCTGATTTTAGTACGTTTAGTAGAGATGGGGTTTCATCATGTTGGCCAGGCTGGTCTCAAACTCCTGAACTCAACTGATCCACCTACCTCGGCCTCCCAAAGTGCTGGGATTACAGGCGTGAGCCACCATGCCCAGCCTGACTTTTCATTTCTCCTTCCCATTGTTTCATCCTTATCCTCCTCTTATCTGCTTCATGACCCCCTTTATCTTCAGCATCCATCTCCTTCTCTTCCTTTTTACCTCCCTGTGAGGTAAAAAGGGTCCCATCTAGCAACACCGTCTGAGCCCCAAGGGAGCGGTTCTCTCGGGAGAGGGTCCTGGGCTGGTCCCCACCTGCAGTGCACAATGGGTGGGCCTCCGTCCATGGTCTGGTCCAGCCACTGCCGGAGCATCCTCCAGAAAGCCAGCAACGTGTCTGGGGAGGAGGGAACGCCGTGATCCGGCCAGGCTAGGTAGTGGAACTGCCGCACGGAGAGCATCTTCTGCTCCTTCACCTGGAAGGAGGGAGCGCTCACAGGCTCTGGAGATGAACATAGGAAGGACCTGGCTTCTACCACTAAGGGCGGGTTCCCTAGAGCACAGTGCAGCTCCTCAGAGCAGTGGGTTGAAGGTTGGAGTTGGTGGAGGGTCCTGGGTGCCTGGCGTGCCACAGGGGAAGGCTGAGGGCCAGCACGGGGCTGGACGCACCTGGAGGAGCTGCAGTTCCCGGACCGTCCAGTTCTCCGTCACTTCCTCACTCTCCAGGGTCACCTGCAGGTGCCCGTGGGTACAGGGCTGAGAGTCCAGAGGCCAGTAATGCTCGCACTTCACCTAGGGGAGGATGAGGGCTCAGAGAACAGGAGAACTCCTCCTCCCCAGGTCTGTGGGGTCTGCCGTAGCCTCCACATGCGAACCAGCAGACGGGCTCGGGGTGTGGGGGAGAGGTCACGCTGAAGATGCCTGAGGTGACACTGGAGGAACCCGTGAGGTCTGGGTGTGGGGTCTACACTGGATCAGTGTTCAGGGTGGGGTCATGCACCCAGTCAGCAGGCAGGACTCCCATCTCTCACCCGGCCGGCCTCCATGCAGTTGGTCAGCATGACCAGGGTGTGGCTCTGCTGTTCCCACACCAGGCGCCAGAAGTCGCCCACTGTCTGTGGCAGGGGGCCCTGGGTTGCTATGAACTCCTGGGGGCTCCAGAGACCCTGGATGAGGAAGGCAGGTGGGTCATGGGGGCCTTTGGAGGACCCCCACCAGCTCTTATCTCTCCAGGCCTGCTGGGCACCCTTTCAATCCCAACCACGGCCTTACGGGCATGAAGCTGGCATTGATGTAGTCAGAGCCTGGCTCCTCGGGGATGGGCTTCAGGGGCACCCGGGACCAGTCATCTAGGAGAAGAGGCCAGCATTAGCCATGCAGAGAGACCCAGAGAGGCACAGAGACAAGACCAAGACCCACAGATAGAGCTCATGCCAAGGTGCAGGCAGACCCTGGGAGCTATGCAGGGATCGAGAGAGGCAGAGGGACCACAGCTGTGGGGAGCCGGCCAGGAGGACTATCAAAGGGACCCACGGCCAGGAGGGGTGACTCAACGCCTGTAATCCCAGCACTTTGGGAGGCTGAGGTGGGTGGATCATCTGAGGTCAGGAGTTCCAGAACAGCCTGACCCACATGGGGAAACCCCATCTCTACTAAAAATGCAAAAATTAGCCAGGCAGGGTGGCGGGTGCCTGAACTCCCAGCTACTCGGGAGGCTGAGGTGGGAGGATCCCTTGAATCCAAGAGGCGGAGGTTGCAGTGAGCTGAGACAGTGCCACTTCACTCTAGCCTGGGAAGCAGAGCAAGACTCGGTCTCCAAGTTAAAAAAACAAAAAAAAGGAAGATCACGTGGGGGGAGGGTCTTGTCTCTCATAGCAGGTAGGAGAAGGGCACTGGGGTGGGGTGCTGACTAGATGGGGGCTGGGGTAAAAGCAGTGGAAGCCCAAGACTCACAGGGCAGCACATTTCTGTAGCGGTTCTTGGCGTTGTTCTCTGGAGTTGAAGCCACCATCTGAGACTGGCTGGTGCCCACCAGGGACAGTTGCTAGGGGTGCAGGCAGAGGGGTAACTGGTGTCGGATTTTCTCTACTTGCCCTTGAGGGGACCCCCCCCGAGCTCCCCTTGCCTTCTTTGGCATCACCCCTTGTTTATCCCTTGCGCCCTGAGATTCTATGGCTCCTGCAGAAACAGGATATATGTGTGCCGCCCACTCTGTGGGGCATTGAGGGATCCGTGGGGACTTTTTCAGGCAGGCAAGAAAGCAGGTGTCAGGGAGAAAGGACTCACTTGGTGGGAGTGGAGAGGGTTACTTTAGGACTGACCCACCATTATTTTAAGATTTCAAGGGCCAAGCGTGGTGGCTCATGCCTGTAATCCCAGCACTTTGGGAGGCCAAGGCAGGTGAATCACGAGGTCAGGAGTTCGAGACCAGCATGGCCAACACGGTGAAACTCTGTCTCTACTAAAAATACAAAAATTAGCCGGGTGTGGTGATGCGTGCCTGTAATCCCAGCTACTTGGGAGGCTAAGGCAGCAGAACTGCTTGAACCAGGGAGTTGGAGGTTGCAGTGAGCTGAGATCGCACCATTGCACTCCAGCCTGGGCAACAAGAGCAAAACTCCATGTCAAAAAAATTTTAAAAGGCCGGGCGTGGTGGCTCAAGCCTGTAATCCCAGCACTTTGGGAGGCCGAGGCAGGTGGATCACGAGGTCAAGAGATCAAGACCATCCTGGTCAACATGGTGAAACCCCGTCTCTACTAAAAATACAAAAAAATTAGCTGGGCATGGTGGCACGTGCCTGTAATCCCAGCTATTCAGGAGGCTGAGGCAGGAGAATTGCCTGAACCCAGGAGGCGGAGGTTGTGGTGAGCCAAGATCGCGCCATTGCACTCCAGCCTGGTTAACAAGAGCGAAACTCCGTCTCAAAAAAAAAAAAAAAAAAAAAAAAATTAAAAAAGGATTTCAGTGAGTGGAAAGATAAGCATGTCTGGGAATCCCTGACAATTCAACGACATATGTGTTGCTGCCTTTGCTTGATCCCGAAGGCCATGAGGTCTGGTCAGGGGGTGGGAGCGGGGGTATGGGCCAACAGAGGGAGGCTGAGCTCAGCGCCTCTGTCCTGTCCCCACCTGGTACTCCACTGCAAAACCACAGTTGCTGTCCTTCTCATTCTTCTTGACGTGGTCAGCAAAGTCTTCAGCCAGGATGTCCCCTGGGAAGCTGTGGGGTTTGGGGGAGCAGGGAGAAAAGACTGTAACCTCTTTGAATCTTGAACTTTTGAGGGCCAGGCATGGTGACTCACGCCTGTAATCCCAACACTTCGGAAGGCCAAGTTGGGTGGATCACCTGAGGTCAGGAGTTCGAGCCAGCCGGCCAACATGGTGAAACAAACCCCTTCTCTACTAAAATTACAAAAATTAGCTGGGTGTGGTGGTGTCTGCCTGTAGTCCCAGCTACTCAGGAGGCTGAGGCAGGAGAATTGCTTGAAACTGGGAGGTGGAGGTTGAGTGAGCCAAGACTGTGCCACTGAACTCCAGCCTGGGCGACAGAGCAAAACTCCGTTTCAAAGAAGAAAGAAAAAATAAAAAATACACATACATATATATGTGTATATATATGTATATATTTATGTGTGTGTAAATATACATACATATATGTATATACAGAGAGAAAGAGTGCTTTTGGGCTCTCATACTCTGGGCGATGATAAATCTGCTCTCATCACACCAAGACCAGGTGCCAGACAATCGGACGTGGCCCCTGTGCCCCCTGAGCTCATGGAATTATGCAAACTAGCCAGTCATAAACCCAGCTTTCCTCCCTGGCCCAGTCCCTCCCTTGGAAACTCCTGCCTGAAGTTCCTCCCCATACCTCTGCCTCCTGAGTGGCCCTGGTGCTTCCTCCTGTGGCCCCTCATGGTGGGACAGGCTCTTTCTCTCTTGGAAATTCTGAGTAACAAACTCTTTTTAATGTCTGTCTGCTGATCTGCTGACCTTACCATACCTAAATAGTAATAAAACCAGCCAGGTGCAGTGGCTTGCACCTGTAATCCCAGCACTCTGGGAAGCCCAGGTGAGGGGATCACCTGAAGTCAGGAGTTCGGGACCAGCCTGGCCAACATGGTGAAACCCTGTCTCTACTAATAATACAAAAATGACCCGGGTGTGGTGGTGGCATCTGTAATCCCAGCTACTTGGGAGGCTGAGGCACAAGACTCTCTTGAACCAGGAGGTGGAGGTTTCAGTGAGCTGAGATTGCACCACCGCACTCCAGCCTGGGCAACAGGGCGAGACTCCATCTCAAAAAAATAATAATAGGCTGGGCGCGGTGGCTCAAGCCTGTAATCCCAGCACTTTGGGAGGCTGAGGCGGGTGGATCACAAGGTTAAGAGATCGAGACCATCCCGGTCAACATGGTGAAACCCGGTCTCCACTAAAAATACAAAAAATTAGCTGGGCATGGTGGCACATGCCTGTAATCCGAGCTACTCAGGAGGCTGAGGCAGGAGAATTGCCTGAACCCAGGAGGCGGAGGTTGTGGTGAGCCGAGATCATGCCATTGCACTCCAGCCTGGGTAAGAAGAGTGAAACTCCGTCTCAAAATAATAATAATAATAATAATAATAACAATAATTAGCCGGGCATGGTGGTGAGCGCCTGTAATCCCAGATACTTGGGAGGCTAAGGCAAGAGAATTTTGCTTGAACCCGGGAGGCAGAGGTTGCAGTGAGCCAAGATCACGCTCACTACACTCCAGCCTGGGCAAAAGGGTGAGACTCCATCTCAAAATAATAATAATAATAATAATAATAAACCTACTCAGCCCTACACTCAAACTTCTCATGCAGACCAGTTTTCTCTCCTCCTTGTGATTCTATCACCCTGGCCTGAGGCCATACCCACTACTGCAGGGAATACCTTTCTCCAGAATCATCTCGGCCTCCCTGTCTGTAATTGCAAAGGCCTCACCCACCTGAGCTCAGCAGCGTTCAGCACCACAGCTGTGCCTTGCCTGTTCTCCTGGGTCTGCACTGCTCCTGAACACCCAGGCCTGGCTTGGCTCCCACCTACCCGGCTGCTGCTTGTCCATTTCCTGGGCAGGCCCCTCCTCCTCGGTCCATCTTCAAAGGTACATGTCCCCCAGTGTCCCTTTCCAAGCTGCTTTTCTCACTGGACACACACTTCTTACAGGGTTTGGCCCCTTCCTATAGTTTCACTTTCCCTCTCTCTTTCTCTCTCTCTCTCTTTTCCCTCTTTCTTCCTTTTCTTCTTTCTCTTTCTCTCTTTCTTTCCTGCCTTCCTTTCTTCCTTCTTTCTTCTTTTCGAGACAGAGTCTCACTCTGTCACCCAGGCTGCTACCCAGTGGTGTGATCTCGGCTCACTGCAACCTCAGCCTCCCAAGCTCAAGCGATTCTCCTGCCTCAGCTTCCCGAGTAGCTGGGATTATAGGCACTGGCCACCATGCCTGGCTAATTTTTGTATTTTTAGTAGAGATGGGGTTTTGCCATGTTGGTCAGGCTGGTCTCAAACTCCTGACCTCAAGTGACCCGCCCGCCTTGGCCTCCCAAAGTCCTGGGATTACGGGCATGAGCCACTGTGCCCAACCTCCTGTCTGGATTATTACAAATTTCTTCCCTTTGCTTCTTACACGTTAGACTGTGTCACTATTCAAGATCTTCACAAAACTCCCATCGCACAGTAGATCCAAAATCCTAACTTTCATCTACAAACCTGACGCCTCTCTGACCTCACTTCCCACGGCCCTCCCCTTCCTCTGCTCCGTTGGAAATGCAGGATGCCCTCTCAACCCCATGTGTGCTGCTGCCTCAGGCTCTCTGCTCGCCCGCCCTGTCCTCAGAACGCCTTTCCCAGATGCATGCACGGCTCCTCTCCCACTTGCTTAGGTCTGTACTCAGATGACTTCCTCTTAGTCATCCGGTTAGCCAGACTTTCCTTGAATATCTTGCCTAAAATATTCCTGCTGGGTGTGGCGGCTCACGCCTATAATCCTAACACTTTCGGAGGCTGAGGTGGAAGGATTGCTTGAGGCCAGGAGTTCAAGACTAGCCTGGACAACCTAGCGAGACCTCCCCCACGAAAAAAAATTTAAAAATTAGCCAGGCATTGTGGTGCGTGCCTGTGGTCCCAGCTACTGAGGAGGCTGAGGTGGGAGGATCACCTGAGCCCAGGAGGCCCAGGCTGCAGTGAGCTACGACTGCGACACTGCACTCCAGCCTGGGCCACAGAGTAAGGCCCTGTCTCAACAAATTAATAAATAAAATAAAAATTTTTAAATTCTCTGATTTTCCCTCTAATTTCCTCTAATTTTCACATGAGAAGAATATTAAAATATTCCTCTACCCTTCCTATCCCCTCCTCTTGCTTTGTCTACAAGTTTATTATATTATTTTATATACTATTAATACACATATATTTGTTTTTTTCTTTTTTTTCTTTTTTTTTTTTTTGAGACAGTCTCACTCTGTTTCCCAGGCTGGAGTGCAGTGGTATAATCTCGTTTCACTGCAACCTCCGCCTCCCGGGTTTAAGCAATTCTCCTGCCTCAGCCGAGTAGCTGGGACTATAGGCATACACTACCACCCCCGGCTAATTTTTTTTTTTTTTTTTTTTTTTTTTTGAGACGGAGTTTCGCTCTTGTTACCCAGGCTGGAGTGCAATGGCGCGATCTCGGCTCACCGCAACCTCCGCCTCCTGGGCTCAGGCAATTCTCCTGCCTCAGCCTCCTGAGTAGCTGGGATTACAGGCACACGCCACCATGCCCAGCTAATTTTTTGTATTTTTAGTAGAGACGGGGTTTCACCATGTTGACCAGGATGGTCTCGGTCTCTTGACCTCGTGATCCACCCGCCTCGGCCTCCCAAAGTGCTGGGATTACAGGCTTGAGCCACTGCGCCCGGCTCATTTTTTGTATTTTAGTAGAGACAGGGTTTCATGGTGTTGACCAGGCTGGTCTTGAACTCCTGACCTCATGATCCATCCTCCTTGGCCTCCCAAAGTGCTTATAATCATCCCAAAGGATTATAGGTGTTAGACACTGTGCACAACCTTTTTCTTTCTTTTTTTTTTTTTTTTTTTTTTTAGACAGAGTATTGCTCTGTTACCCGGGCTGGAATGCAGTGGCGCAATCTCAGCTCACTGCAACCTCTGCCTCCCGGGTTCAAGTGATTCGTCTGCCTCAGCCTTCCAAATAGCTGGGATTACAGGCATTAGCCACCATGCCTGGTCCTGTCTCCAAGTTTATATATATATATATATATATATATATATATATATATATATATATTTTTTTTTTTTTTTTTTTTTTTTTTTTTTTTTTTTTTTGACACGGAGTTTCGCCCTTGTTACCCAGGCTGGAGTGCAATGGCGCGATCTCGGCTCACCGCAACCTCCGCCTCCAGGGCTCAGGCAAATCTCCTGCCTCAGCCTCCTGAGTAGCTGGGATTACAGGCACGTGCCACCATGCCCAGCTAATTTTTTGCGCTTTTAGTAGAGACGGGGTTTCACCATGTTGACCAGGATGGTCTCCATCTCTCGACCTCGTGATCCACCCGCCTCGGCCTCCCAAAGTGCTGGGATTACAGGCTTGAGCCACCGCGCCCGGCGTCCAAGTTTATATTATATTGTTTATGATCTTGCTTACTGATGTCTCCAGTACTAGAATATAAGCCCTGGAGGGCAGGACTCTTGGTTTAATTTACTGCTTGTTCAGCAGCTGGAACGGAGCCTGATACATGCTGGTGCTCAGCTGATATCTGCTGAATGAATGAATGAATGAATCAACGTCCTGGAGCTGACACCAGAACTGAATTTAAAGTCACTGACCCAGGCTGCTTGGGGAGTGAGCTGCAATGGAAGGGCTATGGTCCCTGTGTCAGGGACATCAGTCCCTTCTGAGGTATTTGTGGGTAGATTCATCAATCCACCATCTGACTTAGCCAGCAGCCAACAAACACCCCTTGATTCGACCAGATTCTTTCCGATGCACGCCACCCACCCAAACCTTCTGCTCACCTGAAGACCAGATCACTGAGTTCTGGTTTCTGCTGGTTCTTCTTATTCCTGGGAAAAGGAATTAGGATGAAAGGCTCAGGGAGTGAGGATGCAACCAGGGGTCCTCCTCCTTCTTCTCCGGCCCCAACCCTCCAGGCGGTCAGCCCTGTGCTGAGTCTCACCTCCTCTTCAGGAAGAAAATAAGCAGGCCCACCAGGATGAGAAATAGGAGGATGCCCACAATGGCTCCGGCAATGACCCCTGTGGGGAGGAAGCACTGGGAACCCTCAGAACACAGGTCTTATCTACTCCTCCGTCTCCAACCTTGCCCAGACTTTCCTCTTCCCCAGGAACCTGGTCCAAACACAGCTGACCCTTGAACAACGTGGGTCTGAATTGCATGGGTCCAGTTATGCTTATCCATGGATTTTCCTCCACCCCTGAGATGGCACCACCCCCTCTTCTTTCTCCTCCCCCTCTGCCCACTCAGCTTGAAGACCACAAGGATGAAGACCTTTCTGATGATCCACTTAGTAAATAGTGAATATACTTTCTCTTCCTTACGATTTTCTTTTTCTTTTCTTTTCTTTTTTTTTTTTCTTTTTATTTTTTTGAGATGAAGTCTCACTTTGTTTCCCAGGCTGGGGTGCAGTGGCACAATGTGAGCTGACGGCAACCTCTGCCATCTAGGTTCAGGTGATTCTCCTGCCTCAGCCTCCTGAGTAGCTGGGATTATAGGCACCTGCCACTGCACCTGGCTAATTTTTGTAGTTTTAGTAGAGAGAAGGTTTCACCATCTTGGCCAGGCTGGTCTTGAACTCCTGACCTCGTGATCCACCCGCCTTGGCCTCCCAAAGTGCTAGGATTACAGGCACGAACCACTGCACCTGGCCAAGATTTTCTTAATGACATTTTTTTCTCTAGCTACTTTATTATAAGAATAGGAAATGGCCGGGCATGATGGCTCACACCTGTAATCCCAAAACTTTGGGAGGCTGAGGTGGGTGGATCAGGAGTTTGAGATCAGCTTGGGCAACACAGCAAAACCCCGTCTCTAATAAAAACACAAAAATTGGCTGGGTGAGGTGGCACACACCTGTAATCCCAGCTACTCAGGAGGCTGAGGCATGAGAATCACTTGAACTCGGGAGGTGGAGGTTGCAGTGAGCCAAGATGGCACCACTGCACTTCAGCTTGGGCTACAGAGGAAGACTCCGTCTCAAAAAAAAAAAAAAAAAGGAAAAGAAAACAACAACAACAAACTAGCTGGGCATGGTAGTACATGCCTGCACTCCCAGCTACTCAGGGGACTGAGGCAGGAGGATCGCTCGAGCCTGGGAAGTGGAGGCTGCATTGAGCCGTGATTGTATTGCTGCACTCCAGCCTGGGCAACAGAGTGAAACCCTGTCTCGAGAAAAGAAAACCCAAAACAACAAAAAAAACAGTGACTCTTGCCTTCCTTAGCCTAGACTAGTGCTTCTCAACAAGGGCGATTTTGTTGCCAAGGAGATACGGGGCAATGTCTGGAGAATTTGGACAGCTCAGAGGTGGGAGTGCTGCTGGCATCTAGTGGGTGGAACCAGGGGTGCTCCTCAATACCCTACGATGCACAGGACGTACCTCCCCCACAATAAAGAAGGATCTAGCGCAAAGCGTCTATAGTGCCGAGGCTGGGGAAACACTTTGCTGGCTGTGAGATTGTCCCTGGCACGGACGGCTTCCGTCCTCCCCAGAATTGCAGCTTCATCTCCTCAGAGGTCCTGCTGGCTCAGGAAGGACTTCCAGTAGCAGAGCCTACCGAGGCCTGGTGGCATCTGAGGCCTTGCCTACTCTCAGGCTCTGACGGGCACAGCTCTCCCAAGACCAGTCGTTAGATGTCTGGTCTTAGGGTAGACTCAAGCCGGTGGCCTCTCTATCAGACTTCAAGGCCCCCAAGCTGCGGCCTCGAAGAGTGTGCTTGTCAACAAGGGACAGCAGGGTCTTACAACCTTGTTTCTAAGGGAGAGAACTTTCCAGGCAATGGGGTCTGGCAAAGCCCAGTTTGAACGGCATCCATCGGTCGCCGCATCAACCCCCAGGCTCTCTCCAGATTGAAGGCCCTATTCCCAGGAAGTGACTGATGGGGCAGAGTGAGGCTTATGGCCACGGTCTTGGTACATGGCCAGACCTTTCCTAAGCTTAAGCTCCAAACCTCCTCAAGTACCCCATTGATTAATGCAAAGTGATACAACAACATTAGGAGGGGGAAAAAAAGGGCAGTCAAACGTACAGTTCCCATGTAACTGTTCCACTAGTGGGTACGGACCCAAGAGAAATAAAAACATACATCCACACAAAACCTGTCCAGGAACGTTCCTAGCAGCATTGCCCATAATAGTCAAAAGCAGAAACCACTCAACTGATGTATCAACTGGAGCAGTGAATGGATAAAAATGAATGGATAGGCCAGGTGTGGTGGCTCACGCCTGTAATCCTAACACTTTGGGAGGCCGAGGTGGGTGGATCACCTGAGGTCAGGAGTTCAAGACCAGCCTGGCCAACATGGTGAAACCCCATCTCTACCAAAAATACAAAAATTAGCCAGGTGTGGTGGCGCATGCCTGTACTCCCAGCTACTCAGGAGGCTGAAGTGGGAGAATCGCTTGAACCCAGATGTTGCAGTGAGCTCAGATTGCACCACTGCACTCCAGCCTGGGCAACAAGAGCAAAACTCCATCTCAAAAAATAAAATAAAGATGTCTCAAAGGAAACGAGAAACCAAAGAATCCCATTGATTTCCTCACGAAGCGGGGCCTGCTGGGGTCTACTGAGAATTTTGTCAAAGCTCCCTGGCCCACGCGGCTCCGCTCACCTGCACTCTCGGTGTGGCAGGTCACAGAGGCAGAGGTGGCCCTCATTCCGTCCCAGATGGTCGTGATGGTGGCTGGGTAGGACTGAGCCGGCCCGAGACCCAACACAGACACACCCTTCCCACACGAAGCTCTGTCCTGGGAGCCTCGCTGTCCACCCACCTCCAACTCAAAGGCCTCGTAGCCTCCCTGGGGGCAGGACCAGGTCAAGATGACTCCATAGCCCCCTGAGGTGCTGACGCAGGAAGTGATGGTGACTGTGTCCGGGTCTGGGTGAAGGAAGCAAGAGGTCAGCAGAGCCATCCAAGGTGGCTTTCCACCCCTACCCCCACTACTCAGGCCAGTTCTGAGACAAGGCCATCCCTTCCTCCCCAATCCAAACCACCTCATCTTCCCTCCTTTTCTGTCCTCCCCAAATGGACACAAGCAAGTTCCTTCAAACTACAACTCCCATGAGGCCTTGGGCTCCGCCATTGCTGCAGCTCATCAAGTCATGGCCCATGGCCTGATGGGATTTTTACTTCATTCATGTCTCAGCCCTCAAGGCCCGAGCTAAGCCCAGTTCACCAGGTGAAGGCAGGAAGGGGTGGGGAGGGGGTGGTCTCACTTGTGGACACACGGATGCTTTGCGTGGAACTGGCCATGTCGTTTCTTTCTGCCCACACGGTGAAGTTGTACAGAGTCCCGGGTTCCAGGGCCTCCACCTTGTACCATGTCTCATTGGTCCTGCTGGACTGGTTGGCCCAATTCGCTTGGGGATCTTGCTCCCTCTGGGGATGTCCCTCGCTGGCCCACTGGACCCTGTATACGTACAGCTGAGAGTGGGGGTCTCTGGGGGCCTGCCACCATAGTGTGACTGAGTTGTCAGTCTGATTTTTGTTCTGGAGATCCGTGACCTCACTGGGAGCTGAGAAGTGAGGACAGAGAACTAAAGGGGTAGCCTCAAAAACCCTCTTACCCCAGCCTGCCTGCTGGCCTCTCCCCCACAACAAAGCTGAGATACCCATTATCGATGGCTCCAGTGGCTAAGGAGGCTGAACCACAGGAAAAAACCTAGACACCCAAACACCGTGAGGCCCAGACTCTCACAGCCCTCTCTGTCCCCTGGCTACAGCCCTGGGTCACACCCTGCCATCTTTCTGTTCTTCCCAAATGCACATCAGTCCCACCCACTGAAACTACAACTCCCATGAGGCCATGGACTCTCTGTATTACTGCAGCTTATGCAGTCATGGCCCTATGGGTGATGGGATTTGTAGTCCATCATCTCTCATTTCCTTCGAGATCAGATCTTCTGTATTTTCTTTCCCACAGGAACCCCAGGTAAGTGCCTTCTCGCTCTGGACACACCACGTTTCTAGAGGGAGTTGCCAAATTTCATCTTTTTAGGCCAAATGACCAAAGATTAAAGAGTTTCAGGTTCAGGCCAGGCACAGAGGCTCACTCCCCTAATCCCAGTGCTTTGGGAGGCTGAGGTGGGAGAATCACTTGAGCCCAAGAGTTTGAGACCAGTGTGGGCAACATAATGAGATTCTGTCTCTACAAAAAATAATTTTTTTAATTATCTGGGCATGGTGGCGCATGCCTGTGGTCACAGCTACTCAGGATGCTGAGGTGGGAGGATCACTTGAGCCCAGGAGGTTGAGGCCACAGTAAGCCATGATCACACCACTGTGCTCCATCCTAGGCAACAGGGCAAAACCCTGCCTCAAAAAAAAAAAAAAAAAAAAAAAAAAGAGGATGAACCTAGTCTCCCGGGTGATTTTGATTCTTCTCATGAGTGGGACCCACCATGCCCAGGCTGAGAGGCAGTGCCCTCTTGATTCATCTAATTCCCTGGGACCACCTTTAGCTATTGTCCTGCTGGTGACTTTGTCAGCTCCTGAGAAGTGGTGCTAGACAGTCCGGAGCCCTCCCTGACCCCAAAGAGCCCATTTCCCAAAGGGAGAAAAGAAGGTCCCACAGCTTGGAAAGTTCTGGCTGCTGAGAAATGACACCCCCAGGCCAAGCGCAGTGGCTCATGCCTCTCATCCCAGCACTTTGGGAGGCTGAGGTGGGAGGATCACCTGAGGTCAGGAGTTCGAGACCAGCCTGGCCAACATGGTAAAACCCCGTCTCTACTAATAATACAAAAATTAGCTGGGTGTGGTGGCATGCACCTGTCCTCCCAGCTACATGGGAGGCTGAGGCAGGATAATCACTTGAACCTGGGAAGCAGAGGTTGCAGTAAGCTGAGATCACTGCGCTCTAGCCTGGCAATAGAGAGAGACTCCATCTAAAAACAAACAAAGAAACGACACCCCCTAGGAACAGGACCCACAGGTTTAAGCTCTGGAAGGGCCCCAGAGTGCTATTCATCTCCCAAGAAGCTTGCAAAGTCCCTTCCTCTTTTTCCTTCCACTGTCCTAACCGAGCCGGGGTCAGAGCTGACAGTGTCTCACCGGTGGCTGCACTGAGGGTGCTTTTATAGCCGCTGATCTCATTCCTCTCGGCCCAGACGGTGAGGTTGTACAGGCTGCCGGCTTCCAGTTCCTTTAGGGTGATTTCAGTACCTGAGGTGCTTTGGGTCCTGGGGTCAGTAATGCCTTCCCCGACGCATGAGACCCAGTAGGTGTAGGAAGACTGGCCTGGGCCCTGGGGAGCTGTCCAGCGCAAGGCAATGGAGCTGTTGGTCCAGTCCTGCATGCTGAGGCTTCTCACTGCATTGGGGACTGGGAGAGGGAGCAGAGAGTCAGGATTTACACGTATCCTAGTCCTCAAGGGTCCGAAACACAGTGATATCCCCTTGCCCTTGTGCAGCCCAGCTCATTAAGAAACACTTCCTGGAGGGGCACAGTGGCTCATGCCTGTAATCCCAGCATTTTGGGAGGCCAAGGTAGGTGGATCACCTGAGGTCAGGAATTTGAGACCAGCCTGACCAACATGGAGAAATCCTGTCTCTACTAAAAATACAATATTAGCCGACCATAGCGGCACATGCCTGTAATCTCATCTACTCGGGACGCTGAGGCAGGAGAATTGCTTGAACTCTGGAGGTGGAGGTTGCAGTGAGCCAAAATTGCCCCACTGCACTCCAACCTGAGCAAAAAGAGCAAAACTCTGTCAAAGAAAGAGAGAGAAGGAAAGGAAGGAAGGAAAGAAGGAAAGAAAAAGAAAGGAAGAAAGAGAGAGAGAAAGAGAGAAAGAAACAGAGAGACGGGGAAGGGGAGGAAGGAAGGAAAGAAACACTTGTGGGCAGGGCACAGTGGCTCCGGCCTGTAATCCCAGCACTTTGAGAAGCTAAACCAGGAGGATTGCCTGAGCCCACGAATTTGAGACCAGCCTGAGCAACACAGTGAGACCCTATCTTTAGTAAAAATTAAAACAAATTAGCTGGGCATAGTGCCACACACCTGGAGTCTCAGCTGCTAGGGAGGCTGAGGTGGGAGGATTGCTCGAGCTTGGGAGATTGAGGCTGAAGTGAGCTATGATTGTGTCTCTGCATTCCAGCCTGGGAGACAGAGCAGGACCCTGTCTCAAAAGAAAGAGAGAGACAGAGAGAGAGAGGCCAGGTGCAGTGGCTCACGCCTGTAACCCCAGCACTTTGGGAGGCCAAAGTGTGTTCATCACTTGAGGCCAGGAGTTCAAGACCAGCCTGGCCAACATGGCAAAACCCTGTCTCTACTAAAAATACAAAACTTAGCTTGGTGTGGTGCTGTGTGCCTGTAGTCCCACCTACTCGGGAGGCAGAGGCAGGAGAATCACTTGCACCTGGGAGGCAGAGAATGTAATAAGCTTAGATTGTGCCACTGCAGTCCAGTCTGGGTGACAGAGGAAAACTCTGTTGAAAGAAGAAAGGAAGGGAGGAAGGAAGGAAGGAAGGAAGAGAGGGAGGGAGGGAGAAAGAGAGGAAGAGAGAGAGAAAAAAAAAGAAAGAGGGAGAGAGGCAGGAGGAAGGGGAGAGGACGAAAGAAAAAAAAAACAGGAAGGAAGAAAGAGGAAAGAGAAAGAAAGAAAAAGAAAGAAGAAAGATGGAAGGAAGGAAAGAAAAACAAAGAAAAGAAAAGAAAGGAAAAGAAAAAAGGAAGACAGGAAGAAAGGACAAACGACTTCCCAGCAATGAGACCTAGAACGTCCCGCGTCCCCGCGGCCCCACGCTCAGCGGTATGAGGCCTCTGGACGGGCTCTCGTCTAATTCAGGGCAGAGTGAGCCCCAGCTGTGATGACATCTGTCCCGTGGACTTGGAGAAAGGGATGTCAGGCTCAGGGAGGCTGAAGAGCCCTCCGACGACAGAGTTATCACAGTGGATACGTATATCAAAACATCAAGCTGTAGCTGGGCGCGGTGGCTCATGCCTGTAATCCCAGCACTTTGGGAGGCTGAGGTGGGTGGATCACGAGGTCAAGAGATCAAGACCATCGTGGTCAACATGGTGAAACCTCAACTCTCCTAAAAATACAAAAACGTAGCTGGGCATGGTGGCGCATGCCTGTCATCCCACCACTTTGGGAGGCCAAGGCAGGTGGATCACCTGAGGTCAGAAGTTCGAAACCAGCCTGGCCAACATGGCAAAACCCCGTCTCTACTAAAAATACAAACAATAGTCAGGCCTAGTGGCAGGCGCCTATAGTCCCAGCTAGTTGGGAGGCTGAGGCAGGAGAATCACTTGAGGTTACAGTGAGCCAAGATCATGCCACTGCAGTCCAGCCTGGGCGACAGAGTGAGACTCTGTCTCAATTTTTTAAAAAAATTGTATCTGGGCAGGGCGCAATGGCTCACGCCTGTAATCCTAGCACTCTGGGAGGCCTAGGTGGGTGGATCACCTGAGGTCAGGAGTTCAAGACCATCCTGGTCAACATGGTGAAACCCCGTCTCTACTAAAAATACAAAACATTAGCTGGGCATGGTGGCTCGTGCCTGTAATCCCAGCTACTCAGGAGGCTGAGGCAGGAGAATTTCCTGAACCCAGGAGGTGGAGGTTGCGGTGAGCCGAGATCGCGCCATTGCACTCCAGCCTGGGTAACAAGAGCAAAACTCTGTCTCAAAAAAAAAAAAAGAGAAATAAACATGAAGCAGTGGCCGCCTCTTACCCGTAGCATTAGTGACAGTCTCCTCAGAGCTATTTACTCCATATTTCTCTACCCACACAGAAAACGTATACAAGGACCCGGGTTCAAGTCCATCCACGGTGACATTGGTGTCTGTTGTGTTTCGATTCTCCGTTCTGCCACCGTCTCCGGTGCACTCGACCCAGTAGGTGGAGTTCTGTGGGTGTGGGCCCTCAGGGACCTCCCATCTCAGGGTGATGGAGCTGGTGGTCTGGGCCTCCACGGTCAGGTTTCTCACTGGATTGGGGGCTGAAAAGCAATATGGGAGGGAAAATCAGTTGCAGGTTCTGGCTCTGGAATTTTCCAGCCCTTCCTTAACTACTGAATCCAGCAAGTGGAGGCACAGCATTATCCAGTGTGGCAGCCACGAGTTATACGTGACTGTGGAGCACTCATGATGTGGCTTTTACGAAATGAGGTGAGCCATTCACGTAAGACACACACCGGGGTTTGAAGCTTTCATACGAAATGAAGAATGTCAACTATCTCATTGATCCTTTTTTTTTTTTTTTTTTGAGACGGAGTGTCGCTCTTGTTACCCCGGCTGGAGTGCAATGGCGCGATCTCGGCTCACCGTAACCTCTGCCTCCTGGGTTCAGGCAATTCTCCTGCCTCAGCCTCCTGAGTAGCTGGGATTACAGGCACGTGCCACCATGCCCAGCTAATTTTTTGTATTTTTAGTAGAGATGGGGTTTCATCATGTTGACCAGGATGGTCTCGATGTCTTGACCTTGTGATCCACCCACCTCGGCCTCCCAAAGTGCTGGGATTGCAGGCATGAGCCACCGTGCCCGGCCTCATTGATCCTTTTTATATTTATTTACATTTATTTTCATATATTTATTTATACTTATATTTATTTTTGTGGGTACATAGTGTATATATTTAATGATCCTTTTTATATTGATTACACGTTAAAATGATAATATTTTGTATCTGCTGGGCACAGTGGCTCATGCCTGTCATCCCACCACTTTGGGAGGCCAAGGCAGGTGGATCACCTGAGGTCAGAAGTTCGAAACCAGCCTGGCCAACATGGCGAAACCCCGTCTCTACTAAAAATACAAACAATAGTCAGGCCTAGTGGCAGGCGCCTATAGTCCCAGCTAGTTGGGAGGCTGAGGCAGGAGAATCACTTGAGGTTACAGTGAGCCAAGATCATGCCACTGCAGTCCAGCCCGGGCGACAGAGTGAGACTCTGTCTCAATTTTTTTAAAAATTGTATCTGGGCAGGGCGCGATGGCTCACGCCTGTAATCCTAGCAACTTTGGGAGGCCTAGGTGGGTGGATCACCTGAGGTCAGGAGTTCAAGACCATCCTGGTCAACATGGTGAAACCTCGTCTCTACTAAAAATACAAAAAATTAGCTGGGCATGGTGGCGCATGCCTGTAGTCCCAGCTACTCAGGAGGCTGAGGCAGGAGAATTGCCTGAACCCAGGAGGTGGAGGTTGCGGTGAGCCGAGATCACGCCATTGCACTCCAGCCTGGGTAACAAGAGCGACACTCCGTCTCAAAAAAAAAAAAAAAAGAGAAATAAACATGAAACAGTGGTCGCCTCTTACCCGTGGCAGTAGTGACAGTCTCCTCAGAGCTATTTACTCCATTTTTCTCTACCCACACAGAAAACGTATACAAGGACCCGGGTTCAAGTCCATCCACGGTGACATTGGTGTCTGTTGTGTTTCGATTCTCCGTTCTGCCACCGTCTCCGGTGCACTCGACCCAGTAGGTGGAGTTCTGTGGGTGTGGGCCCTCAGGGACCTCCCATCTCAGGGTGATGGAGCTGGTGGTCTGGGCCTCCACGGTCAGGCTTCCCACGGGGTTGGGGGCTGAAAAGCAGTATGGGAGGGAAAATCAGTTGCAGTTTCTGGCTCTGGAACTTTCCAGCCCTTCCTTAACTACTGAATCCAGCAAGTGGAGGCACAGCATTATCCAGTGTGGCAGCCACGAGTTATACGTGACTGCGGAGCACTCATGATGTGGCTTTTACGAAATGAGGTGAGCCATTCACGTAAGACACACACCGGGGTTTGAAGCTTTCATACGAAATGAAGAATGTCAACTATCTCATTGATCCTTTTTTTTTTTTTTTTTTTTGAGACGGAGTGTCGCTCTTGTTACCCAGGCTGGAGTGCGATGGCGCGATCTTGGCTCACCGTAACCTCCGCCTCCTGGGTTCAGGCAATTCTCCTGCCTCAGCCTCCTGAGTAGCTGGGATTACAGGCACGTGCCACCATGCCCAGCTAATTTTTTGTATTTTTAGTAGAGACGGGGTTTCACCGTGTTGACCAGGATGGTCTCGATCTCTTGACCTTGTGATCCACCCACCTTGGCCTCCCAAAGTGCTGGGATTGCAAGCATGAGCCACCGCGCCCGGCCTCATTGATCCTTTTTATATTTATTTACATTTATTTTTATATATTTATTTATACTTCTATTTATTTATCTGGGTACATAGTGTATATATTTAATGATCCTTTTTTTTTTTTTTTTTTTTTTTTTGAGACGGAGTTTTGCTCTTGTTACCCAGGCTGGAGTGCAATGGCGCGATCTCGACTCACCGCAACCTCCGCCTCCTAAGCTCAGGCAATTCTCCTGCCTCAGCCTCCTAAGTAGCTGGGATTACAGGCACGCGCCACCACGCCCAGCTAGTTTTTTTGTATTTTTAGTAGAGACGGGGTTTCACCCTGTTGACCAGGATGGTCTCGATCTTTCGACCTCGTGATCCACCCGCCTCGGCCTCCCAAAGTGCTGGGATTACAGGCTTGAGCCACCGCGCCCGGCCTAATGATCCTTTTTATATTGATTACATGTAAAAAATGATAATATTTTGTATCTGCTGGGCACAGTGGCTCATGCCTATAATCCCAGCACTTTGGGAGGCCAAGGCAGGTGGATCACCTGAGGTCAGAAGTTTGAGACCAGCCTGGCCAACATGGCAAAATCCCATCTCTACTAAAAATACAAACAATAGTCAGGCCTAATGGCAGGTGCCTATAGTCCCAGCTACTTGGGAGGCTGAGGTAGGAGAATCACTTGAGGTTACAGTGAGCCAAGATCATGCCACTGCAGTCCAGCCTGGGCGACAGAGTGAGACTTTGTCTCAATTTTTTAAAAAAATTGTATCTGGGCCGGGCGCGATGGCTCACGCCTGTAATCCTAGCACTTTGGGAGGCCTAGGTGGGTGGATCACCCGAGGTCAGGAGTTCAGGACCATCCTGGTCAACATGGTGAAACCCCATCTCTACTAAAAATACAAAAAATTAGCTGGGCATGGTGGCGCATGCTGTAGTCCCAGCTACTCAGGAGGCTGAGGCAGGAGAATTGCCTGAACCCAGGAGGTGGAGGTTGCGGTGAGCCGAGATCACGCCATTGCACTCCAGCCTGGGTAACAAGAGCGACACTCCGTCTCAAAAAAAAAAAAAAAAAAGAGAAATAAACATGAAACAGTGGTCGCCTCTTACCCGTAGCAGTAGTGACAGTCTCCTCAGAGCTATTTACTCCATTTTTCTCTACCCACACAGAAAACGTATACAAGGACCCGGGTTCAAGTCCATCCACGGTGACATTGGTGTCTGTTGTGTTTCGATTCTCCGTTCTGCCACCGTCTCCGGTGCACTCGACCCAGTAGGTGGAGTTCTGTGGGTGTGGGCCCTCAGGGACCTCCCATCTCAGGGTGATGGAGCTGGTGGTCTGGGCCTCCACGGTCAGGTTTCTCACTGGGTTGGGGGCTGAAAAGCAATATGGGAGGCAAAATCAGTTGCAGTTTCTGGCTCTGGAACTTTCCAGCCCTTCCTTAACTACTGAATCCAGCAAGTGGAGGCACAGCATTATCCAGTGTGGCAGCCACGAGTTATACGTGACTGCGGAGCACTCATGATGTGGCTTTTACGAAATGAGGTGCGCCATTCACGTAAGACACACACCGGGGTTTGAAGCTTTCATACGAAATGAAGAATGTCAACTATCTCATTGATCCTTTTTTTTTTTTTTTTTTGAGACGGAGTGTCGCTCTTGTTACCCAGGCTGGAGTGCGATGGCGCGATCTCGGCTCACCGCAACCTCCGCCTCCTGGGTTCAGGCAATTCTCCTGCCTCAGCCTCCTGAGTAGCTGGGATTACAGGCACGTGCCACCATGCCCAGCTAATTTTTTGTATTTTTAGTAGAGATGGGGTTTCATCATGTTGACCAGGATGGTCTCGATGTCTTGACCTTGTGATCCACCCGCCTCAGCCTCCCAAAGTGCTGGGATTACAGGCATGAGCCACTGCGCCCGGCCTCATTGATCCTTTTTATATTTATTTACATTTATTTTTATATATTTATTTATACTTATATTTATTTTTGTGGGTACATAGTGTATATATTTAATGATCCTTTTTATATTGATTACATGTTAAAATGATAATATTTTATATCTGCTGGGCACAGTGGCTCATGCCTGTAATCTCAGCACTTTGGGAGGCCAAGGCAGGTGGATCACCTGAGGTCAGAAGTTCGAAACCAGCCTGGCCAACATGGCAAAACCCTGTCTCTACTAAAAATACAAACAATAGTCAGGCCTAGTGGCAGGCGCCTATAGTCCCAGCTACTTGGGAGGCTGAGGCAGGAGAATCACTTGAGGTTACAGTGAGCCAAGATCATGCCACTGCAGTCCAGCCCGGGCGACAGAGTGAGACTCTGTCTCAATTTTTTAAAAAAATTGTATCTGGGCCGGGTGCGATGGCTCACGCCTGTAATCCTAGCACTTTGGGAGGCCTAGGTGGGTGGATCACCTGAGGTCAGGAGTTCAAGACCATCCTGGTCAACATGGTGAAACCCCGTCTCTACTAAAAATACAAAACATAAGCTGGGCATGGTGGCGCGTGCCTGTAATCCCAGCTACTCAGGAGGCTGAGGCAGGAGAATTGCCTGAGCCCAGGAGGTGGAGGTTGCGGTGAGCCGAGATCGCGCCATTGCACTCCAGCCTGGGTAACAAGAGCGAAACTCCGTCTCAAAAAAAAAAAAAAAGAGAAATAAACATGAAGCAGTGGCCGCCTCTTACCCGTAGCATTAGTGACAGTCTCCTCAGAGCTATTTACTCCATATTTCTCTACCCACACAGAAAACGTATACAAGGACCCGGGTTCAAGTCCATCCACAGTGACATTGGTGTCTGTTGTGTTTCGATTCTCCGTTCTGCCACCGTCTCCGGTGCACTCGACCCAGTAGGTGGAGTTCTGTGGGTGTGGGCCCTCAGGGACCTCCCATCTCAGGGTGATGGAGCTGGTGGTCTGGGCCTCCACGGTCAGGTTTCTCACTGGATTGGGGGCTGAAAAGCAATATGGGAGGGAAAATCAGTTGCAGGTTCTGGCTCTGGAATTTTCCAGCCCTTCCTTAACTACTGAATCCAGCAAGTGGAGGCACAGCATTATCCAGTGTGGCAGCCACGAGTTATACGTGACTGCGGAGCACTCATGATGTGGCTTTTACGAAATGAGGTGAGCCATTCACGTAAGACACACACCGGGGTTTGAAGCTTTCATACGAAATGAAGAATGTCAACTATCTCATTGATCCTTTTTTTTTTTTTTTGAGACGGAGTGTCGCTCTTGTTACCCCGGCTGGAGTGCAATGGCGCGATCTTGGCTCACCGCAACCTCCGCCTCCTGGGTTCAGGCAATTCTCCTGCCTCAGCCTCCTGAGTAGCTGGGATTACAGGCACGTGCCACCATGCCCAGCTAGTTTTTTGTATTTTTAGTAGAGATGGGGTTTCATCATGTTGACCAGGATGGTCTCGATGTCTTGACCTCGTGATCCACCCGCCTCGGCCTCCCAAATTGCTGGGATTACTGGCATGAGCCACCGCGCCCGGCCTCATTGATCCTTTTTATATTTATTTACATTTATTTTTATATATTTATTTATACTTATATTTATTTTTGTGGGTACATAGTGTATATATTTAATGATCCTTTTTATATTGATTACATGTTAAAATGATAATATTTTGTATCTGCTGGGCACAGTGGCTCATGCCTGTCATCCCACCACTTTGGGAGGCCAAGGCAGGTGGATCACCTGAGGTCAGAAGTTCGAGACCAGCCTGGCCAACATGGCGAAACCCCGTCTCTACTAAAAATACAAACAATAGTCAGGCCTAGTGGCAGGTGCCTATAATCCCAGCTACTTGGGAGGCTGAGGCAGGAGAGTCACTTGAGGTTACAGTGAGCCAAGATCATGCCACTGCAGTCCAGCCCGGGCGACAGAGTGAGACTCTGTCTCAATTTTTAAAAAAAATTGTATCTGGGCCGGGTGCGATGGCTCACGCCTGTAATCCTAGCACTTTGGGAGGCCTAGGTGGGTGGATCACCTGAGGTCAGGAGTTCAAGACCATCCTGGTCAACATGGTGAAACCCCATCTCTACTAAAAATACAAAAAATTAGCTGGGCATTGTGACGCGTGCCTGTAGTCCCAGCTACTCAGGAGGCTGAGGCAGGAGAATTGCCTGAACCCAGGAGGTGGAGGTTGCGGTGAGCCGAGATCGCGCCATTGCACTCCAGCCTGGGTAACAAGAGCGAAACTCCGTCTCAAAAAAAAAAAAAAAAAAAAAAGAGAAATAAACATGAAGCAGTGGCCGCCTCTTACCCGTAGCATTAGTGACAGTCTCCTCAGAGCTATTTACTCCATTTTTCTCTACCCACACAGAAAACGTATACAAGGACCCGGGTTCAAGTCCATCCACGGTGACATTGGTGTCTGTTGTGTTTCGATTCTCCGTTCTGCCACCGTCTCCGGTGCACTCGACCCAGTAGGTGGAGTTCTGTGGGTGTGGGCCCTCAGGGACCTCCCATCTCAGGGTGATGGAGCTGGTGGTCTGGGCCTCCACGGTCAGGTTTCTCACTGGGTTGGGGGCTGAGAAATTAGGAAGAGAGATCCAATGTGAACAGAGATACAGAAAACAAAGGAAGCAGGCAGTAGGCATCTCTATTCCTTTATGTTGCCAGTTCTTCCAAACTGCTGGCACCAGCTGATGCAGGCAGACTGTGATGTGTGCACATGTCATGAGGGCCCTGAGGAGTGGGTCTGAGATGGAGCTGAGATCCTGCCCTTCCAGTTAGCACTCCGTGATGCTACCTACCCATGTAGTTCTGGTCATAGTTTGAGTAGCAAGGATCTGGGCCAGAACCTTCCTTTTTGGTTTGTTTGTTTGAGGCGGAGTCTCACTCTGTTGCCCAGACTGGAGTCAGTGCTGTGATCTCGGCTCACTGCAACCTCTGCCTCCCAAGTTCAAGTGATTCTTGTTTCTCAGCCTCCCAAGCAGCTGGGACAGCAGCCATTCACCACCGCGCCTGGCTAATAGCACTTTCCGACTGAATTTCCTTGATGCTAGAAATGCTCTCCTGCCTTCCAATACGGCAGGCAACTCTCCTCTCCCAGTGGAGGGCGTGGAGAAACAGAAAGCCCTCAACAAAGTCCATGAAACATGGAACTGAACTGGCAATGCCATGCAACCTTAGTGAACTGAAATTTATTTTATCATATCGTATTAGCTTTTGGAGACAAGGTCTCACTCTGTGGCCCTGGCTGGAGTGCAGTGGTGAAATCATGGCTCACTGCAACCTCCACCTCCTGGGCTCAGGTGATCCTCCTGCCTCAGCCTCCACAGGCTTGTGTTGCCACACCTGGCTAATTTTTTATTTTAGTAGAGACAAGGTCTCGCCATGTTGCCCAGGCGTAGCTTCCATTAGATTTCTATTGAACTACAGAACCTGCCAGTTCTCAACCACCCCTACCACCTCCATTGAAAAAAAAAAAGGAGTAGGCTGGGCACAGTGGTTTACGCCTGTAATTCCAACACTTTGGGAGGCCGAGGCGGGTGTATCACCTGACATCAGGAGTTCAAGACCAGCCTGAGCAACATGCTGAAACCCTATCTCTACTAAAAATACAGAAATTAGCCAGGTATGGCAGGGAGTGCGCCTGTAATCCCAGCTATCTGGGAGGCTGGGCAGGAGAATCACTTGAACTCAGCAGGCGGAAGTTGAAGGGAACTGAGATCTGGCCATTGCCCTCCAGCCTCAGTGACAGAGCAAGACTCCATGTCAAAATAATAATGATAATAATAAAGATTAAACCGAGCACAGTGGCTCACACCTGTAATCCCAGCACTTTGGGAGGCTGAGGTGGGTGGATCACCTGAGGTCAGGAGTTCGAGACCAACCTGACCAACATGGAAAAATCCCATCTCTACTAAAAATACAAAAATAGCCGGCTGTGGTGGTGCATGCCTGTAATCCCAGCTACTGGGGAGGCTGAGGCAGGAGAACTGCTTGAACCTTGGAGGAGGAGGTTGTGGTGAGCCGAGATTGCACCATTTTACTCCAGCCTGGGCAACAAGAGTGAAACTCTGTCTCAAAATAATAACGATAAAGATGAAAACCATGGCCGCCCCTCGCACGTGGGGGTACTGAGATTCACTCTTGTGCTTTGCACTCCATCTTTTTCTATCCACACAGAAAATGCATACGAAGACCCGGGTTCGAGTCCGTCCACAGTGACTCTGGTGTCTGCTGTGTTTCGAGTCTCCGCGCTGCCACTATCTCGAGTCCACTGAACCCAGTAGGTGGATTTCGGGTTGAGACCCTCGGGGGCCTCCCAGCTCAGGGTGACGGAGCTGTTGGTCTGATCCTCCACTCTCAGGTTCCTCACTGGGTCCAGGGCTGAGAATTGGGAAGAAGAGTCCAGCACAAAGGGGAGCAGGTCAGTGCCACCCCTCCCCACCCCCCGAGTTCTTGCCCCAAGTCCAGAAACAACAGCGCTCAAAAGCCCCAACCATGGACCACCGGGACCCCCTAAAGGCTCATGAGAGTTGGGGTCCCACTTCTTCGAGTGGGCAGTGAGTTCAGGCAGGGGTCACTCACCGGCCACGCTGGCCTCTGTCCAGCTGCACAGGCCCTGGAGGGAGCCCAGAGAAAACAGAGTCAGCCTCTAAGCCATTCCCCCACCCAGTGAAGGTGGGGCTCGGAGGGGCAGCTGGTCCCCCGCCCTGGAAGTGAGTCACCCTTGCACGGGAGGGAGGGGCCGTGTCAGGCTGGGCTGTCACAAAGGTCACCCCAACCGTCTTTCCTGGGTCGAGGAGAGAAGGGGGGCATGGCAGGGGCGGAGCTCAGGGAGCTGGGCTTGGCTCCACCCAATAAGGCTGAGAGATAAAATTAATGACTTCAGTTCCCGAAATATATGGCCTTGGAAAACTGAGGGCAGAGAGCAATGAACAGACTGGGAAGAGAGAAAAAAACCAAGGCTAGGGACCAGGAGCCTTGGCCTGAGGGAGGAGGGGCTGGGGCCTGGACTCCTGGGTCTGAGGGAGGAGGGGCTGGGATCTGGACTCCTGGGTCTGAGGGAGGAGGGGCTGGGGTCTGGACTCCTGGGTCTGAGGGAGGAGGGGCTGGGGTCTGGACTCCTGGGTCTGAGGGAGGAGGGGCTGGGGTCTGGACTCCTGGGTCTGAGGGAGGAGGGGCTGGGGTCTGGACTCCCGGGTCTGAGGGAGGAGGGGCTGGAGTCTGGACTCCCGGGTCTGAGGGAGGAGGGGCTGGGGTCTGGACTCCCGGGTCTGAGGGAGGAGGGGCTGGGGTCTGGACTCCTGGGTCTGAGGGAGGAGGGGCTGGGGTCTGGACTCCTGGGTCTGAGGGAGGAGGGGCTGGGGTCTGGACTCCCGGGTCTGAGGGAGGAGGGGCTGGGGTCTGGACTCCCGGGTCTGAGGGAGGAGGAGCTGGGGTCTGGACTCCCGGGTCTGAGGGAGGAGGGGCTGGGGTCTGGACTCCTGGGTCTGAGGGAGGAGGGGCTGGGGTCCGGAATCCTGGGTCTAAGGGAGGAGGGGCTGGAGGCCTGGACTCCTAGTCTGAAAGAGCAGAGGCTGGGGATCTTGACTCCTAGACTGAGGGAGGAGGAATTGGGGTTTGGACTTTTGGGTCTGAGGGAGGAGGGGCTGCTCCCTGTCTGTCACTCATTTTGAGCACAGCCGTGTGTCCCCTGGCAGCAGACACAGCAGTATCTGAGAGCCTGGGTGGAAGACTCTCCTATAGTCTCTACCAAGCCTGAAGGCCTCTTCCTTCTCCAAGGGATCTTCAGCACCTAATTCCTCATGATAGGGGTGCAGGGACCCAGTTCCTTCTCCCTCAGACCCGCTCTGGGTGGGGAGCACTTACCAGCAGCACCAGGCTCCGCCAGGCCCCGAGGCCCCCACCAGCCCCAGTCATGCCTCCAGACAATGCCAGGGACTCAGGAGTCCCAGGCCTGGTCCTTCCACCTGGACTTTACCCTCAAGAATTTCCCCTTTCCCAGCTCATTGGTGAAGCCAGAGAGGCCAGGGCGGGAAGGGGAGGAGGAGGAAGTGGAACCCAGCTCCCAGCCCTGCCCAGCCAGCCCTCACCTTCCTCCCTCACCGCTGCCTCTAACGCTGACCCTGGAGACACCTCCGGTCTTCTCTTCAGCCCCACATGGCATCATCGGCCCTCAGCCCACTCCACTTTGTCCCCTGAAATCTCCTCTGCACCCAAGGTACTGGGTGCTGCGCCCCATCGCTGCACGGATGCAGGGTGGGGCAGATGGTGAGAGCTGGGGCTGCTGAGAGAAAGGCCGGCTGACTCCCCTGCCCCTCTGGCAGGTGATCACACATCACACCAGCCCGGGGCCTAGAACTCACGCCCCTCGTCCCTGGGGCACACACTCTTCCACTCAGGCCTTTCCCCGCTCCATCTCCCACAAGCCCTTGCAGCTCTCACAAAGTTAGCCCAGCAGGTTCCCACCTCCTGGCCTTTGCCCAGGGTGTCTCCCCCACCAGGCGCACCTGCCTACTTTGCCCCCAGCAGTCTCCTAGCTACTCCTCCATTAGGATTCAGCTTGGAAATGACCCACGCTGGGCCCAGGGGCCTTTCTAGCCTGCTCAGGATCCTTCCAAACACCAGACTCTCTAATCTGCATCTCCACCTGTGACCCCGAACAAGTGACTTCAGTTCACAGTGACTCAGAGTCCTCCTCTCTAAAGAATGGGCACGGCCCCTTGTAAATATTTTAAGAGAAATAAATTAGTTACTACGTGGAAAATCTTGGAACAGTGCCTGGCCCACTGTAAACATTTGATAAATCTTAGTCATGTTTATTTTTAATTCATCCCTAGGTAAAAGAAAAAGAAAAAGAAAGAAAGAAAGGAAAGAGAATCAGCCAGATGTGGTGGTACACACCAGTAGTCCCAGCTACCCGGGAGGCTGAGGTGGGAAGATCACTTGAGTCTGGGAGGTTGAGGTTGCAGAAAGCTGTGATTGTGCCACTGTACTCCAGCCTGGGTGTCAGCGTGAGCCCCTGTCTCAGAAAACAAAACAGCTATGCACGGTTACTCATACCTGTAATCCCAGCACTTTGGAAGGCTGAGTTAAGAGGATCCCTTGAACCCAGGAGTTTAAGAGAAGCCTGGGCAATTTAGGAGGATCCCATCTCTACAAAAATTAAAGGTAAATTAGCCAGGCATGGTGGTGCACAACTTGGTCTCAAGCTCCTCAGGAGGCTGAGGAGGGAGGATTGCTTGAGCCCAGGAGGTGGAGGCTGCAGTGAGCTGTGGCTGCACCACGCACTCCAGCCTGGGTGCCAGAGGGAGAATCTTTCTCTAAATAAATAGATAAATAAATACGTTCTCACACCACTGCTCTTGAGAAGTCAGTTTCTCTGTTTCTCTGTCTCTGAGAGTCTTGGTTTCCCCACCTGTATAAGTAAGGGTTTGGTTGTGAGAAATTCCCTTTCAGTGGACACCGGATATCATTCATACCAATTGCTTGAGTTTCTGTTCTAACCTTTCTCTGTTTCTTTCCTATATCTTAATCTTTTTTTTCTTTTTTGAGACAGAGTCTGGCTCTGTCGCCAGGCTGGAGTACAGTGACGCAATCTCGGCTCACTGCAGCCTCTGCCTCCCAGGTTCAAGCAATTCTCCTGCCTCAGCCTACCAAGTAGCTGGGACTACAGGTGCCTGCGACCACATCCAGCTAATTTCTGTATTTTTAGTAGAGACAGGGTTTCACCATTTTGACCAGGCTGGTCTCAAACTCCTGACCTTGCAATCCACCTGCCTCGGCCTCCCAAAGTGCTGGGATTATGCCCAGCCAAAAACATTTTTTAATCAAGATGGGGTCTTGCTATGTTGCCCAGGCTGCTCTCGAACTCCTAGGCTCAAGTGATCCTCCTGCCTTGGCCTCCTAAAGTCCTGGGATTACAGGCATGAGCCACTGCACCCAGATGTCTCCCCTATACTTTTGACGTCTCTCTCTCTCTCTTTCCCTCACACTCTCTCCCTTCCCTCTCTCTTTCTCTTCCCTCCTATCTAGATCCCCAATTTGTAAACACACTCACTTCCCTGTCTAAAATAGAAACAAAAGCTTTCACTGACTCCACACCCACCATCCGATCACACTCTACTTGCCTTGTCCTCAAAACCCAACTTCCCGGCCGGGCATCGTGTCTCACGCCTGTAATCCCAGCACTTTGGGAGGCCAAGGCAGGTGGATCACCTGAGGTCAGGAGTTCGAGACCAGCCTGGCCAACATTGTGAAACCCCACCTTTACTAAAAATACAAAAATTAGCTGGGCACGATGGCACATGGTTGTAATCCCAGCTACTCAGGAGGCTGAGGCAGGAGAATCACTTGAACCCGGGAGGCAGAGGCTGCAGTGAGCCGAGATCACACCACTGCACTCCAGCCTGGGTGACAGAGCGAGACTCCATCTCAAAAAATAAAAAAACAGGGCCGGGCGCGGTGGCTCAGCCTGTAATCCCAGCACTTTGGGAGGCCGAGGCGGGTGGATCATCAGGTCAAGAGATCGAGACCATCCTGGTCAACATGGTGAAACCCCGTCTCTACTAAAAATACAAAACATTAGCTGGGCGTGGTGGCGCATGCCTGTAATCCCAGCTACTCAGGAGGCTGAGGCAGGAGAATTGCCTGAACCCAGGAGGCGGAGGTTGCGGTGAGCCGAGATTGCGCCATTGCACTCCAGCCTGGGTAACAAGGGCGAAACTCCGTCTCAAAAAATAAATAAATAAATAAACAACAACAAAGTCAACCACTCCACAAAGCAGCCCACAATTCCTGGCTTCCAAATTCCTCATGGAGCAGGCTGCCTGTGTATGGGGAAGGCACACTAGAAACAAAACTTGTAGGATCTTGGGCATGGGCCTCCAACTCCAGTCCAGCCTTCATATGAAAGCAGCCCCAGCCACCATCTTAGCAGCAACCTCATGAGAGACTCAGCCATGCTCTTCTTTTCCCCTTAAGGACAGAAATTTCCAGGCCAGGCACAGTGGCTTATGCCTATAATCCTGGCACTTTGGGAGGCCAAGGTGGAAGGATCACCTGAGGCCAGGAGTTCGAGACCAGTCTGGCCAACATGGTAAAACTCCCTCTCTACTAAAAATACAAAAATTAGCAAGGTGTGCTGGTGGGCACCTATGATCCCAGCTACTCGGGAGGCTGAAGCGGGGAGAATCACTTGAATCTGGGAGGTGGAGGTTGCAGTGAGCCCAGATTGTGCCATTGCACTTCGGCCTGGGCGACAGAGCAAGACTCTGTTTTAAAAACAACAACGGGCCAGGAGTGGTGGCTCATGCCTGTAATCCCAGCACTTTGGGAGGCTGAGGCAGGTGGATCATGAGGTCAGGAGATCAAGACCATCCTAGCTAACACGATGAAACCCTGTCTCTAAAATACAAAACACTAGCCGGGCATGGTGGTGCGGGCCTGTAGTCTCAGCTACTCGGGAGGCTGAGGCAGGGGAATTGCGTGAACCCAGGAAGTGGAGGTTGCAGCGAGCCAAGATTGTATCACTGCACTCCAGTCTTGCGATAGAGCAAGACTCCGTCTCAAAAAACAACTACTACCAGAAATTCCCAAGGGGCCACTAATGAGAGCCCCAGTTAGCACAACCCTCACAACTTGAGTTCTTTGCAATTCCTCTTAAAGTGTGATGAGAAGCACCAAGACAGTGATACTTGGTCTCCGGAATGATACCATCTCTAGGTCTGGTGAGCAAGAACCAGACTTGAGTCACCACAGTGGGGCAGCATAGGGCCTTGGCTCGCATTT